CGCTCTTCGGCGCCCCTTAGTCGCTTTCCGTCGCGCCCCCTCCCCACGCCCCCAAGTTCTGACCTGGGGAGCTCTCCCCGAGTAGACAGGTAGTCCAGCCCCAGAGTTGGGGTCCTCGGGGCGGGGGACTAGGCCTGTTGATCAGCGTGGAGATGATCTCTCTGCAGAGACTTTTCCTGCCAACCCGGGGGTGGGGGAGAGGCGCAATGTGACCCCGAGGGACGACAGGGGAGCGTCTGCTGGACAGATGGCCTCCTGGCCTTGAATCAGCGTGTGCGAGGGGGAGGGGTCCCCACGACCTTAGACCTGCCTGCTCGAGAGAACCACCGGATTAGGGAAGCTGCCTAGGGGTGTTTGGCCATTTTTGAGTAGGCCAGAGGTGGCCTGGAGAGCTCTGGATTGGAATAAATGCATAGGCCCACCAGGGAAGCATGTCTGACACCCAGGACTAGCCCAGGACAGTGGGAGAAGGCGACTTGGGTAAAATGGCATGCGGCCTCAGGTTTGCCCACTTGCCTTCAGTTTTGGGTTCACAGAGGGCCTACAAAGTGGTTCTCTCAAAGGGTGGAGTGGCTGAGCATACAGGATGTGGACAGCTAGATGTCTGGCCCGGTGGGTGGTGGGATTTCAGGGGTGTGTTTCCTCAACCGCACAGGTGCATCGCACACTGAAAGCGAGGAGGAAGCATGGTGCTCTTGCCCGTTTGAACCATTCTCTCGTTTTCCTGCGGGATGTGACTTTGCTCCATTCAGTATACTCATAATTTTACCGCGCACTTACTGTGCACCAGGCCCTAGTTGCGGGCATCATGGTAAACCAAAGTGACTCCATGTTCTAGCTTGTTGGCCTCACAGCTCAGTCGTCAACCCAAATGTTTATTCAGTAACAACTTGTCAACAGATTAGTGCCAGGTGCTGCTCTAGATGCTGCGAATAAGGCAAATGAAAACAACTGCCCTGGTGGCTGCTTCCTTTCTAGGTGGGGTGGGGGAGAAGGCGATCATGAAATAGATAGTAAAAATAGTGTTAAAAAGTGTGAAGGAAGGGAAAGATGGCAGGTAAAAAAGGAATCTGAGGTGACTGAGGCTATGGGGTTTGGATTTACACTAAGAATAGCCTGGGACTGCCTGGGAGAAAGAAGAGGCGTTTTGCAGCTTCAGAAACCCACACCACAGGGGTAGTTCTACTCTGTCCTGTAGGGTCACTCTGAGTTGCTTGGAATCTACTCAGTGGCATTGAAGGCCTTTTTTTTTTGAGGAAGGCCTGCTGAGAAGGTGTTTTGAGTGAAGTCTTGATGAAGTGGTGAATAATTTCAAACTGTGAAGAGTGCCAGGAAAGAATGAGGTTGGGGCTTAGGGAAGGTTACCCTGAGGAAATGACATTTCGGCTGAGGCCTGCAGGAGGGTGAAGAGTTAACAGTGCGTGGAGCAGCACTGAGCTTGGCAAGTTGGAGGAAGTGAAAGAGGCCTGTGTGGCTGGACGGAGAGAGGAAAAGAGGAGATAAGTGTGTGGAGAGGTGGGCTGGGTCAGGTCACTGGGGGCCTTGGGAGGCCTTGGGGGCTGAATGCCTTCCCTGTGTAGTTTGGGTCCTATGCACAAGGTCTTTAGGAATGCTTGACAAGATGACATTTACACTTTAAAATGTCTCTGACCCTTGGATTGAGAATGGACTTTGAAATAAGCCAGCAGGTAAGGCTGGGCTTTCTGTGTTGTGTCTTAACTCTCCCTGGTCTGTTTGGGAAAACTCCTCAGGCAGTGTGAGGAGAGCTCTTTAGGAAAAACTAACAGTTAGCAACCCTCTAGGTCTAGGACAATGTCTAAGTGGGTTTCCAGAGACTTTAACTCTTTATAGGAGTAGAAAGAGCCTAGTCTTTCTCCCTGGGAGCTCCGGGTGTTTTCAAACTGCTGAGCTTTGGGTGAGCAGTCCAGTGCTGTCCCACCAGGAAGGGGAAGGGAAAGGACAAGAAAATGAATTAGCATCTATAGTGTGAGTTAGGCTTAGTGGGCTTAGCATTGGGCTGCTAACTGCAATGTTGGCAGTTCAAATCCACCGGCTGCTCTACAGGAGATGAGATCGTGTGTTCCTCTAAGGAGCAGTTCTACTCTGTCCTAAAGGGTTGCTATGAGTTAGAACTGACTTAACAGCAAGGAGTCTTGATGGTGTAGTGGTTGCAGCGGTTGACTGCTAACCCATGGCTGCCAGTTAGGCCCCACCAATTGCTTCTCAGAAGAAAGATGTGGCAATCCGCTTCTGTAATGATTAATCGCCTTGGCAGTGCTGTGGGGCATTGCTGTTCCAGTCTAAAAGATTCCTTTGAGTCGAAATACATTCAAGGGCTGTGGGCTTGTTTTTGTTTTGTTTTTCATTAAGTAGGAGAACAAAATTTAAAGACTTCTGTATAATCATCTCCACACCTTAAAACAGAGGCCATTTCGCCCATTTTACAGATAAGCAAACAAGCCCAGAGGGGATAGTTTACTTATCTAAAACCACACCTGTGACATAGTCAGGATTCAAGCTCTGATCAGCCTGATTCTACAACCTGAAGCCAGACTGCTGGAGTTTGCATCTTGCATCTCCCTTGAGTTATTGAACTTCTTGGACCTCATTGGATGCTAACAGAAAGGCTGGTGGCTTGAATCCACAACCTGCCCAGCAGGAGAAAGATGCAATTGTCTGCTCCCATAAGGATCTACAGTTCCATAAGGAACCCTGTATAGGATCCCTATGAGTGGAGGTTGACTCGATGGCAGTGGGTTTGGCGTGGTTTGGGACTGTTGGGTTACATAGACATATTATGATCATTTTATATGAAAGAAATTGGTAATTTAATGCTTGAATTTTGTGTGATTCTTTTCCCATGGCCCCTGTAATTATTCATTCAGCATCGATTGATCTCTCATATCATACTTGGGACTGTACTAGGATGTATGAGTACAGAGTGAATCCTATTTCTGCCTTCCAGGAACTCAGCACAGAGACAAGGTAACAGATAAGTCTTCTAACCTGGCCTCTCCAACCACTCGTCCGGTCCATTCTGACTCCTAGAGACCTTGTAGGACAGTAGAACTGCTCCGTAGGGTTTCTGAGCCCGTTCCGCTTTACAGGAGCAGACAAGCCTCATGTTTCTCCTGCAGAGCCAGCAGTAGTGAATTTGAACCACTGACTACCAGGAGCTGTGCCATGTCGGGGACCCACTCCTTCCTCTGTGGTCAAAGAGCTATTGGTTGCCCTGAAAAGTTGGAGGTTGAGTTCACTCATTTCCTTCGAAGATCTGGCAATCCATTTCCCCCAAAATCAGTCACTGAAAGCCCGGTGGAGAGTAAGTCTAAGCCTACACACATGGATTTGCCATCAGTTGAGATCAGCTCAACGGCAACTGGTTTAAGGACACTATTCTAGGAAGGAGGGTATAGATGGGGGCTAGAGGGAGAGGTAGGTCGCAAAGCCCTGGGGGTGTGGTGGTGAAGTGCTGGGCTGCTAAGTGAAGGTTGGTGGTTCAAACCTACCAGCTGCTCCATGGGAGAAAGAGGTCGCAGTCTGCTTCTGTAACGTTTTATAACCTTGGGAATCTGCTCTCTTAGAGGCTCTCCGAGTTGTAATCAAGTCCATGGCAATGTGTTCTTTTTTTTTTGGTGGTGGTGGGGTGTTGTGCAAGTGGTTAAGCCCTAGGCTGCTAACTCAAAGGTTGGAGATCTGAGTGCACCATAAGGCAGTTTGGAAAAAAGGCTTGGTGATCTGTGCTTGAAACATCAGCCATTGAAAACTCTATGATGCACAGTTCAGGCCTGTGGGGTCATGGGAATTGGAATCATCTCCATGGCAACTTGTTGGGTTGGGTTGGGTTGGGTAGAGGAGCAATATGTAGAGAAGCATGGAACCGTAGAGGCTGGGTCTGTCCGGGGTGAGACTGACAAGCTGA